GCTAATGGTAAAGTCTGAGCAGATGACTTTCTAATCCATACTGTATTTAATTGGCTGTATTGAACCATACTACAAATTAAGTCTTCTCTGTAATTTATCCTGTCAGACGATAACCCTGCAAACAATTTGGTATTCATTTAAACATTGGTAAATGGCTCATGGAAATGCTAAGAGAAAAATGGTGATCAGATAAGAAACCCTCTGTTTACAGAATGAATCCTATGTGAAACGTCGTGAATTAACCTGATTGAATCAATCATTGAGCATTTATTGAGTGACTACCTTGTGCAGTGTACATCTTTAGATAGCTTGGTTCTTCCTTCCTTCTTTAATTCACGAAACCTTATTTAGCACTTATTGTTCAAAAGGAACAGTATTAGTGACTAGGATAAGACCGAGGAGAACCAGACATGGATCTTTCTTTCAAGGAGCTAACATCCCCAAAGTGGAGAGAAAACAAATGCACAGATGTTCTCCAAATGTCCTGTTCTCAGGACCTAGAGGCCTTTGCATGCTACATTCTTTCTGCCTAGAATGCCCTTTCCCCCTGACTTTCTGGGGACTTCCCCTTTATCCTTCGGGACTGAGTCCGAGGTCAGCTCCTTTGTCAAGTCTTCCCTGATGCCCCTTCCCATTCCTGCTCTGACCCTACATAACCCTTTAATCTAAAGCTTGTCTTCTTATATTGTGGTTGTTAGTTTCTTTGCCTGCCTGTTCTATGAGATTGCAAGGGCCTTGAGGAAGGGACTGTGTTTTAATCCTTTGGGTAGGTGTAGCAGTTAGCATGAGATCCAGAAAAGAACAGGCACTCAATAAGCATTAATACCTACCGTGTGAATAGCTATATGCATGGAGAAATGTGTAGCAAAATTAAGAAGTTATGAAGCATCCCACATAGAAGAAAAAATACAACCCAATGAAATCTAGGGTTGGGAATTATTACTAAGGGAAACAGGGGAGTCAGGGAAGGTGCCCTGGATGAGCAGGATTTTGGAGCTAGGCCTTGAGCATAGGTATGATATAGTTAGGTGGAGTTGATGAAACACGGGTCAGGGGAAGAAGATGGCAATCAGCAGAGAAAACAACACGCATAATGGCACAGAGGTGGGGAAGTCCAGAACCCAAAGGGGGACGATGAGCCCTTCAGATTATTTTCACCCCTGGGAGGAAAGTCAGACTGGGTTGGGGAGGTTATTCTCTGAATTGGCCTTGGAATTCTGCAGCAGTAACTTTCATCCTCAATGAGAGGGTTCGGAATAGGAGTAGTAAATGAAGTGGTGGTGGAAAGATCGGGTGTTCTGGAAGACTCTTGAAAATCAAATATCTGCTTTGATTTGGGGGCAGTGCTTTAATATCTAGACTAAGTTTTTCCAAGACAAAAACTCTTTTCCAAAGGAAGGGTGGAAGAAGCGCACCCAGAATCTGCCTTTCCTCCACTCTCTCCCTCTCCCACTCTTTCCCTCTCCCTCTGGCCCAGGATTCTCTGCACCTCCAGAACAACCCATGGCGCCCCAGAAACTCCACACAGAAACACTCCTGGGATGAAACGGTCCTTTTCTCCTGTGACCAAGGGCCTCACCTCCCCTTTGTGGCCTTGGCCGCTCAGCAGATACCACAGGTAGCCAAGCCCGAGAGTCCCCTTCCAGACCATGCGGTCTTGACCTTTTTTGCTGAGATCCTGATAGCTGGCCTTGACCCCAAACCTTCTGACTGATGACCCTTTCTGACCTCAGAATCCTGCTGGAATCCAGAACAGCCTCAACTCTACCTCCTCCTCCAGTTCCCTTTCTTCATCCCAGCTTATCAGAGACCATGATTTTGTTGTTGGTCTAGGGACCCAGGAGTCTCAGGAAAGGAGCCTTAATTCTAAATAGTCTTGTTTCCTCTTTTCAATGCTTCGTCATCCTGAATAGGGAGAGTGGGGCCTGGGTTAAGTATGGGTCCAGCCAGAACACAGTCTGACCCTCAGTCCTTTCATGAATAAACTCGGAGGTGAACTGTACAATATTTAGGTTTCCTCTGGCTCCAACTGTCTTTGATTTGTGCTGATAAAACTTGTTTGAAGACATGGAGCAGTTTTGAGGCTCAGTGAACAAGTATTTACAAGGTCCTCTGTGTTGCCAAGATGAATGTGATAACGTGGGATTAGCAGGATTCTAATATGTTTGTATTTCCAAGAATCTGTATGACACGTGCATGATTAAGGTTGGAGAAAGTGGAGACGTATCCCCTTACTGGCTCTTCGTTTCCAAATGAATGAGCCTCTTCCAGAACAATCCTTTTTAACATGTCCTAAAATTAACTATGGGAAAAGGTAATGTTACAAATATTTTTCAGCACTTCACGCACACACACGGCCACACTTCGCGAGGCAACTTTAGACATCATCGGGCGCTAAAAATGTTTTGATTTTAAAACACTTAATGAGCATTCCCAGATAAATTAAAACATCTCCATCTGCTGTCTTGCCTAGTAGGTGATCTTTTACCATTGCACAATCATCTCCAAATCTAATTCCACCAGGAAGACTTGTAATTGTGGTTTAATTTTAGAGCAATATTCCACTTGGCAATCAATAAGTACTGTCGTCAAACTTTGATTCAATAGAAGACGTGGATAACATTCACCGTATTATGCGGAGAAAGAGATACTTGCAGGAAAGGGAGAGAAGGAGGATGCCTTTGTCTCCCGCTTTCCCTCCTGTATACCATTCGAGCTCACAAAAGGCTCTAAATCAATACCCCCACGTTTCGTGAATATAAATCTCATTGATTTTACATCATTAACACCATGAAAAAGCTACTGCTCTCTGAGGAGTTTTTCTCTCCTAGCTAAATATGCTCTCTTAATAAAACAGGAACAAATGGATCCTGATCATTTTACTAACAAATACTTCCTTCTTCACCAACTTTGTGTGAAAATCCACTAGAATTATACAGTTGTCTTATGGCCACTTGAGGGGCTAGGGTGACCGGGCAGTGATACCACCCTCCAAGCATGATGTCCAGTAGACACTGGGCAACCTGGACAGGCTTGAAGCCACCTGGAGAGTCCCAAGAGTAGTAAAGAGATGAGTGAATGGCCAGACTCTGGAAGGGAAAGGTGCAGCAGCAAATTCTACTGCAGAAATGATTCCTAAGGTCAGAAGCCTGGAAAGATGGCAACAGGCTGGGGAATGGACATTTTGGAAGGTCAGGGCCAATAATTCAGAACCAAGGCAATGGCCTTCATGAGAGGCAGGTGCCCACTGTCCTGAGAGGCTGGCTGTGTGATGTGAGATCCAAATGGCTAAAGGATCCGGGGAGATGGAAAGAGACCTGGGAGAAAATGTACTCCAGGGGTTCCCAACATTTTCGTAACCAGATTCTCCTTGTGTTACATTTCTCCTTCCCTCTACAAACTTAGTAATGTGGGAAACTTTGTTCACCACAAAAAAAGCATTTATAATCATTCACTTTCCTATTTGCATTATTTGAATCCATCACTAATTGCCGAAGAGAATCTGCTCCAAGATGAGCTAAGGATAGCCGGTATACAGTAGCCGGATACGGAGCTACGGAGCACAACAGTAGCCGGATACGGTTCTAGATAAACTTGGCGTTTTCATTTGCGTGCACAGTGAAAGGTGTCATCTTATGAGGGATAATTATACATTTCTGTTTAGCTTTTTGAAATGTTGAAAATTGCCTGGTACCTCTTTTTATTACTTTCAATGACCCCAGTAGATCCAGAGCTTTGGGTTAGGAGCCATGGATCTGGTTCAGAGTTCTTCTTTAATAGAGGAATACACGGAGATCCAGAGAGGTACAGTGAGTGCCTTGTGTTCACATATAGTGGCTAGAATGCAAGCTTCTTATCACCCCGGATAACGAAAAGGTCCTTTGTCAGGACTTGAAGCACATCGTATAATGCATAGATACATACAGAGGACTGTTTAATGAGGATTGCCTTAGGAACATTTAATATAGAACAATGGCCGTAAAGATCACCATCACTTAACAGGATGGTGAGTATTATTTGTTGAAGTTTAGATAATAAAGGCAGGAAGGTCAATATCAAAAGATTTTTGCATTACTGATCAGCAATCCCAATTTACTTTAGTTCAACAACTGTGGGTCAGGCGCAGTGCAAGGTATTAGGATGGCAAAGGTGAAGAAGACAGAGGCTGGTGGGGAAGACTGGGATTTAGGCAAATGTATCAGAGAAGGAAGATCTACGAAAGCAGGAGCCAGGGTAGCTGTGTGTGAGGAATCCATCAGGAGTTTCAATATCGCTGTAGACTAAAGCTCTAGGGAAACACAGAAGTGGGAGGAATCACATCTGCAGGGAAAGGGAAGGCAAGCCTTGATCAGGGGGTTTCACAGAGGTGGGGCTATTTCAAATAGGCTTTGCAAGAGGAATAGGATTCAGGCAGGTGGATAAAAGAACAGGCATTGCGGACATGAGGACCAACCCATGAAAAGCCTCAGAGGTGTGGTGAACTTGGGCAAAACAAAGAAGGGTGTTTGATCCTCAAGTCCCTCTGTCGCCACCTCTTGGAAAATGGTTATAACCACTCCCATCTATGGTTCTCTGAATGCGAAGGGCACCCCCTGTCATTGTGCAATGTACATCTTCCAGCAGGGCAAGCAGAGGCCCTGGATACGTAAATGTACTAAATATCAATCCAGAACTTAGACTGGGCTGCATCATGAAGAAAGATGTGGCAGGAGCCTACACCACTGAGTGAGGCTGACCGGTCCTGGAGAGCAGAAAAAAGAGCCAGATGCTCTTTCAGCATCTGAACAATCCTGTTTATCTCTCTGGTCACAGCACCAAGACCATGGAAGGAAGCCTCCATTTCTCAAGGGCAGGCACAGCTCTTCTTCCTTCCATCTGGACCAAACAGCTTTTCCAGAGCCCTCCGGGCTTGTTCACATGTAGCAGAAACACATCTCTTATTGATCAGCAGCTCGGAGGGCAAGTCCCCTGAAATAGGCTCTTCTTTTTGTTTTCCATAGGCCCTTCAGCAGCATCATGCTGTTCACGAAATTTCCTACATCGCCAAGGACATCACAGATCACCGGGCCTTCGGATACGTTTGTGGGAAGGAAGGGAATCACAGATTCGTGGCCATAAAAACAGCCCAGGCGGTGAGTATCCCAATCTGAAGAGGACTCCTTTCCTTGTACCTTTCCTGGGACAGCACAGCCACACTGTTGGTCTTCGGAGGCCCACTGTGCCATGTGACTCAGCGATGCTGACGCTCAGCTTCCCATCTAGAAAGGATGAACAGCCTCGGAGCAAAGACGCATGCTCACGCCCATCCAGTTGTGTTGTCGTTGTTTTTCCTAATGGGTATTTCGTAATGACTAACTGTTTTCCTTTCTGATTAAGCTGGACGGAGGCACACTATACAAATAAGTTTCCTTGTGTTCATAGCCTCATTTACAAAGAAAATAAGAAGAAACAAATAGCTGTTTTGCATAAGGCCTACCCTAACTTTATCGAATTTGAAATTACTAATAAATAAAAGCAGTGCCTTTTATGCTTATGATTGTTATGAATTTGCAAATATAATTAGTTGAAGAAATGAACTTTAGCTTACATGCAATTTTGCTAAACCAATGTAACAAGGTAGAATTAATTAAAGACGGAATGCTTGCAGTTTAATAGAAAAAGGAAGGGCTGCGGGTTGTAGCCAGCAAAAACAAAAATTGGTCGCTGCAGCTTAGTAACCACCCTTTTATTAACGTGCTTTACCACCTTTTACTCCAGGCTGAACCCGTTATTCTGGACTTGAGAGATCTCTTTCAACTTATTTATGAATTGAAGCAAAGAGAAGAATTGGAAAAAAAGGCACAAAAGGACAAGCAATGCGAACAAGCTGTGTATCAGGTATACCTGTGAATTTATCCTGAGACAACAGGGGCTTAAAATAAACAGATGTGAAAACTGACAGTCAAGGCTTCTCCTCCTGCTGCCAAGTAGAAATAAACAAAGATGAAAGGTTCCCGTGTAAATGACTGAAAGCAAAGCCACTAGACGTGAGCGCTTATTCACTGAGATTCTAGACGTGTTGGAGAAAGTGAAGTCTTGAAACCAGGGGAAGATTTCAGGGGAGGAGACCTAAGGAAACCCAACTGCGTTTGCTGTTATTAGCAGTGGGTGGGATCAGATTTGGAGATGATTGTGCAATGGTAAAATATCACCGGGGTTTTCATTTTTTTTCTGCCTGTTTTCTGCCTTAATGACCCGCCAGCCTCTCCTACCCAGAGCTGGTTTCTTCACTGTCCTGTAATTTCTGAATAACGTCTCACATCTCTCGCTTTATGTCCTCTGCTTTGCATCCTCCCTTCCCTCACTCTGCGGTAGACAATTCTGGAAGAGGATGTTGAAGATCCTGTATACCAGGTAATTTCTGAAACTAGTTGGGGTCGAGGGTCAGGAATGGCCAGGCCTGTGGTGTAGACATTTTATCAGAGACCTGAAGGATCCGCTGGCTGCAGAGCCTGGAGGGGGACCAAAATTATTTCTGAGGGTGAGGGCTGCCACCCCCTCCAGGAGCGAATTTCCATAAAAACTAACAGAAATTTGGCCGGCATCAATAGCATGGGATTTGGAAATAGACTTCTCCCTTCTTGCCCTGCCTCAGCCCTCTCCACAATCTGTAGAAGTTTGATCCCAGAGCTGAATGCTTGCAAGAGTCTCCTGAATATTCCGAGTTCATTAGAGAGACTGAATAATGAGGTGGCTTCAGTGAGTTAAGAACCAGAGATGGGGACTGACATTTTGGCGACATTTGAACACAAACCCGAAGGACGGTTTGTGAGCTTGAGAAAGGCTGTGAGGAGAAGTCCCTTGGGCCCCCGACTGGCTAGGCTGCCCCCTGACTCCCTGGCTCATGGCACAGGGGCTGTGAGTGGGGGAAGGGAGATCCCAGAGACATGCCTGCCCGTAGCTTTCTCTGTGCTCTCTTCAAGGTTGCAGCCTAAGTGTGGGTAGAGATGGCCTCTCTTGGGTTCAAGGATATGCTCTGCTTAAACAGATACAGAAGAGGAGGCCTCTCCCACTCTGTGCTTATTCCCAAGGAGAGAACAAAGCCAAACCTTTGACTTGTGGGATATAAAAGACAATCTGAAACTTACATTTCTAACTGGGACACACATGGGTTATGTGTGTGTGTGTCACACATGCATTCTATATACATGCAGAGTTTCACCCAGAGAGCTGCTACTGCTATGACAAAAAGAAAATAATATGGATAAAAAAGTAATAGAGTCCGAATAACTTGAAGGAGAAGAAGTATCTGACATAGATGGCAAACAAAAGTCAGAGGTGCACTGGACGGCAGGCCTTGCTGTAGAATGCCAGAGGCGTGGATTTGTCTATAATATGAGCTCAGCCCCTGGTTCGTGGGCTGGGAGAGTGACGAGCATTGCCCCTTTTGAGATGGCCCAGTCCCTTAGAGTCTGAAACATGTACGTGGAAAAGTTGATTTCGGTATTTAAAACTGAGAATGTAAAGTAAAGTGATATTTATGAGATGAGGGAGTTTGGGGCTTCTGAGCAGTCAGAATTGGCATCTGACCCTGGGCCTTAGGGAGCAAAAGGGAGAGACCACTGTAACCCAGGGCTTGCAAAGTTGGGATCCCAGGAGATATCATTCCCACTCAGCAGTGCCAGCACACGCAGACACTACCGAGATAAATGCCACTGAATGAAGAGGTTATATCCCCAGAGAGGTCTGCAGAGGGCTTATGCAGACATAGCTAAAGGGCTGACCATTGGACACAGTTTTCCTTAGAAGAGGCAGGAATGTGTCAGGCCATTGGGAATGTCAGTAATTCAGTTGTCTCTTTAAGGTGTTTTCTCCTGTGCCTGTGTCTTTAATGCTCACTGCGATGTATATCCTGAATTCCAAATGCTTTTTTTTTCCCCTCTTTCATTTTCCCCTCTGACTTTTCCTCTCTGGCCGTTCGTCATAGTACATTGTGTTTGAGGCTGGACACGAGCCAATCCGTGATCCCGAAATGGAAGAAAACATTTATCAGGTATAAAACCGCTTTCCTCTCCTGCCTTTGCACCACCACCAGTAAGTGCACAGAAGGGGCTGAACAGCCACGGGCTCTCTCCTCACTCACACGCTCCATGTTGCTCTTCTCGTCATTCTGGGCTTGTTAAAATACCTTCACGTGAATTGGTTCCCACTTCCCTGCCATTTACCAGTAGTTTTCATGCCTGATTGTAGACATGGTTAATGGCCAACTGGGTACAGTGTTTTAATTTTTAATGGAGCTTAACTATTTTCAGTTGACTCAGAAATCAAACATTCCATTTTACTAAAGCAATCCACGGGAGGGTTGTTGTCCGGAATGTAATAGGGTCCTTCATTTCTCAAAAGAACGTGCTGTTGAATTTCTTTAAAAAGTCAACTGTACTACTGAAAATGAAGACCAAATTCAAAAATGCTATTTGGAGACAACACTGGGAATATTAACTGAATAAAAGAAAGTCTAGCTAAAGTATTACCCCTTCTGAAGCGAAGGTAAAGTAATATTCTTAAATGTCTGCTTATGTGAAGAACCCTGAACACACGTTTTTTTAATTTTATTGGAGTATAAGTGATTCACAATGTTGTGTTAATTTTTACTGTACAGCAAGATGATTCAATTATACATATATATATATACTTTCTTTTTCATATGCTTTTCCATTATGGTTTATCACAGGATATTGAATATAGTTCCCTGTGCTATACAGTAGGACCTTGTTTATCCATTCTCTGTATAATAGTTTGCATCTGCTGGTTAACTCCCCATCCTTCCCTCCCCCAACTCCCTTCCTTTGGCAACCACAAGTCTGCTGAACACACTTTTGACCTCGTTAATTCTCCTAAATATACTATAAAATAGGTATTTTAATCCCACTTTCTCAGGGGGAAACTGAGGCTCAGATGTTGAGTAGCTTCCTCAGGGCTGTACAGCTGTTTAGAGCCGGGATCAAACCCAGGCAGGTGTGTGAAGGCGGGACTCACGCTGCTTCCCCTCTGCTTTTCCATCAAAGAGTCTGAGTAACTACAGCACAGCGCACACCAAACAAGTATGACAACCTCCAGTTTTTCACTAATTAGAATTTTAGTCCTAATTTGAAATAAAAACATTACAGAAGCAGGAAAATTGTTAATGTATTTAAATAAGTGATTTTAATTTCCTTAATTTACTTAGTTGTGTGGTCTCTTATTCTGCCTTGGGCATGCATTACTTACGTAACAAAAGTAAAACAGATTTTCAATTTCCATCAAATGCACAGAATTCTAAATGACCAAAATATAATGTTAGCTCTACCGACAACTTGGATTAACCAGCCCTATGGAGTAATAATCTATTTCTATCCACTGGATCCGTCTGGGTTGGATTCAAGTGTGAGGTTGCGCTTTGCGTCTTTGTTTAAAATCATTGCTTACGAAGTTTCTATCTTTAAACAGAAAAGTTGCATGTCTGTCCTCAATGTCAGATTTTAAGGTACAACCTTGCAGTGTCTCAGTATTGTTACTGAACCAAACTTGGATCCGCTCACCGACGCAGTAAAGACAATCTGCTGACACCAGGTTGTGGTGAAGGAAAGTGCCGAGTTTATTGCGGGACACCAAGCACGGAGTCCAGGGCAGCTGGTGCTCAAAACACCTGAACTTCCCAATGGGTTTCAGGAAAGCACTTTTAAAGGCCAGGTGAGGGAGGGGAGTGGTGGGGATGTGATCAGCTCGTGCACAATTCTCTGATTGACTAATCGTGTGGTAACAAGGTGGTGTCACAGTATCAATCCTTAGGCATCAGTGGGTCTCGGGGCTACATGTTCATGGTCATCAAGTAGTTAATTTCTTCAATTTGGTGGAGTTTTTAGCATCTGCAAAACAGCTCAGGAGATGTATATCAGATCCTATTATCTAGGTACTTTCAGAGGATATGGGGGAGGAGTCTGTCCAGGGAAGACCCCACAGGGTCCTGCTCAGTTACAGTATGAGGCCAGAGGAAACCACTAACCAGTCATCCTATGAAGAGGGAGCACCTTTGAAAATAAAATTAGGCTTTTCAATATAAGAGGTTCGTGATTTCAGAGTTAGCTACAGTTGGCAGGGCTCCCATTGTGCCCTGCGGGGGACTCTCCGGGGGCAGCCTAGTGTACTGGGAAGGACCGGTTTCAGCAAGCAGGGAACTGGGGTATAGTTCTGGCTCTGTCACCAACTACATTTGGCTGAGGGGTAATGGGCAAGACACTTGCCCTCTCTGCGACTCAGTTTCCCCAATGGTAAAATAGGGGAATAACTTCTCCCTAAATCACATGTTGGCACGAGAATGAAACAAGATCACGTGGAGGCTGTAAAGAAGAGGCTTCATCCCGGTCACACACTGAATCCACAGCAATTAAGCCACCTTTTCAATTCCTTTCTTTCTCTGGGCCTCAGTTTACTCATCTGTAAAATGAGCAAATAAGACTGAAGCGTCTCTCGGGCATGGCCCTTTTCTGTTCTTTGCAACTAGTGCTTCATCATAGGACTGTTAGAGGAGATGCTGGCTTGCTTTACAGAGCAACAAGACGCTTGGAAATGGGGGGTGGGGGGGGCAGGGTTTGGTAACAATTATAGAGCCAGGTCCCTGTGAATGGGCGCTTACATGCAGTATCTTATTATGTCTCACAGCAGCCCCAAGTCCCTTATATCATTATTTCCACTTTACAGATGAGGAAAGTGAGCCTGGCAAAGGTAAGGTATCTTGCCCAGGGTCACAAAGCTAGCAAGAGGTAGAAGCCCCCACTCGTAGCCAGGTCTCTCTGACCTCTGTACAGAAAATAAATCCAAGGCTCTTTTCAGCTTAGAATGTCTTTGATGCTGAGTTTTACAAGTAGATTCTGTGTAGGTTTCAAGTCACTATCTAAAAATCGCACTTGTTTTCACGGTTCTGATGCCCAGGATCTTCCCATCTGTCCATCATTAATACGAAGGTACCAGTCCGCTGGGCCTCAGTTTGCTTAACAAGAGATAAGCTCTTGGGCCTAAAGATAAGGCTGGGCTCTTAGGGAGCTGCTATTGGGAGCCTCAGGGTTTTGGTAGGGCCTACAAGTGTTCCGTATCTATGCCTCCTGAGTAGATTGCAATGTTTCTTATACTTCAGCTTGATCAGGGTAGTCTCAGATTTGATTTTATTTATCCTCTGTTTTCGGGCCTAAGTTTTTAACTGTTCTGTGGCCTCAGGTGAGGTACCTCACTTTTGTATCTCAATTTCCTGGGCTACAAAATAAGGGTACTGTATTCTCTGCTTCTAGAAGTGGTGTGAAGATGTCAAGCAACCAGGACAGCACTTGGTACATAGTAGGTTCTGTGTACATGTCAGTTCCTTTTACTTCCTAATGCCATCAATATCAGATGTTGCTCGAGATGTCTTCTGATGATGTATTAAGTGAAGTAGAACATGACTCGCTCTCCTCATCTTGCCAGAGAGCCCCGCGGAAAGCTGCAGCCTCCCTTGACTTTGCTATTTGTCACTCCAACACAAGGGAGGGAAGGACCCTTGAGTAAATGCCACCTCTCTTTGGGGCTCAGTAGTGCCATTCTCCAAACCGGATTAATAATAATAATTGTGTTTCTATTTGCATGTCTCAGAAAAAAGTATCAGTTGTCTTTTGAAAACAACACAGAGCCTCACGGTACAGAGCGTTTTTACCTGTCACCCTTCCAGTAACTCCGTGAGATGAGAACAGTTGTGATGACTATCATTTTAAATGTAAGAAATTCAAGTCCTTCATACTTAAGTGATGGGCCCAAGGCCAGAGCCTCTGATTCTAAACCCAGCGTTCTTTCATACGTTAACAAGCTTCCAGCATAAGCGAAATCACAGCTCACCAAGGGCACATTCTCCAAGTTTGTTCATTCAAAAATCATTTTTAATCACCCAAGATGTCACATACTGTTATTTTAAAATGGTATGTCTCTAATCCTGTGTCACCCAGCTCTTAACCTGTCTCTCCATCCTGTTAATATGTTGCTGCACTAAAAATGTCTTCTGTATGGATGGTCCTTAATGTATAGCTTTTAGACTAATTTCATTCGTTCATTCAAAAAGTAATTATGTATGGAGCACCTAGCCTGTGCCAGGCACATGAGGATGTAATAGCAACCACAGCCAGGTCCCCACCTTCCAGGCGATTGTAGGTAACTCCTTGGGTACTCATGACAACCAGATGAGGAAACTGAGGTTCAGAGAGCAAAGTGACCTCTCCAGGGTCACACAGCCTGTGGCAGAGCCAGGATTAGGAACCAGACCTCCTGCCTCCTTTTGGTCCAGAACTGTTATCACTCTGCACACCATCATGTTACTGAAATGGTCTACAGACGGGATGGACCAGCCGGGGGAGATGAGAATCAGGACCCAGGCACTTTCTGGCCTTCATCCTTTTAGCGCTTCTTCTAGTGTTCTGTCCTCAGCACACGTGTGGTAAATGTTTGATGCTTAGAAGTTTCTTGTTTAAACTCCATTTACAGATGGGGAAACAAGGATAATAATATAACCGCCCTGCCCTCGGCAAGCTTATAGATCAGTCGGAATTCAGAGTGACCAGGAAGCTGCAATGTGGTTTGACAGCTCCTTTATAAGATAAAGCACATTTTACACCCTCCTTCAATAGCCTGATGACTTTCCCATCTCCCCCCAGCAAGTCAAGGAGCGCCGATAAATCAGGGGCCGTATTCATCTTGTTCGCCACCATTGTCCTGGGTAAAGCACAGTGCGTGACACTTACTAGGTTCTTGGTAACTTATTTCTTAATGAAGGGATGCACCAGAGGTTACAAGAGTACAGAGGAAGGCTCAAATCAGTCCTAGAGAGTCAGACAAGTCTCCCAAGAAGATGTCCCGGCAGAAATAAATCTTAAAGGAAAAACAGGCAGATTGGTATCTCACCCATGGGACAACCAAGCAGAAAAGCTTTTTTCAATTATGCACAGTTTGGGTTTCGCCGTCCCACTGCTTCTCCTCCATTTGCAGGCATAATTGAGAGTCAGCTGTGGTTCAACTTGCTAAGTGCCCATAGTGAGCAGTGAATTACAGGGAATAGAAAAACACTGTTTGTTTTGCTCAGGCAGGGGTGAGCTAGTAAAAAATAAAAGTGAGGGCTGGTAATTTATTGGCCCTCATTAACAAGGACTCTGTAGGCATTCTTAGAGTATTCCTTTTAGACAGAGCTCACTTATCAGGAGCAAAGAGATTACATTTTTCATGGACTACCAGCAAAGTAAGGTTTGCAGAAGCGGCTCTGAAAGTACATCTTTTGCGCAGCCATGCTCACTCAGAGTCATGTTTTTCACAAGAATGTGCACGAGCTTCTGGGAGTGTAGGATGTGAAGTCAGAGGACAAGAGGCACCTGAAACTGCTGTGGGAATGGTGGGGACAGGGGTGGGCTGCAGCTGTATGTGCTGTAGCAGTTCAAAGGCAGACCGCCCAGGCTTAAGCTCCTGGCTCTCCGTTCACGGACTGAGGGACCCCCTCCAGGGCTCCTTTTCCTCTTCTGCAGCATGGGGACGATTGTCATCCTCACCTGATAAGACTGAGAATGAGAATGTATGTAAACACAAATGTCTAGCGTGATGCCTGGCACACAGAAAGTGCCCTAGCAGTGTTAGCTCATACTGTTAGCGATAAATGTCTTGTTCCGTAGCCAGAATGAGCTACATTTGAATCTGATCACTTACCACCTTTGAAGCTTTGGGCAAATTTCCCGAACAACTCTGAGCCTCACTCTCTACTACGTAAAGTGGAGATTATAATAACAACTTCTTAGGGTTATTGTAAGGATTTTAAGGTAAATGAGAGTGAAAATGACAAAGGGACTCAAGGAATAAGCTCAAATTCTTACTTATCTTAAGAAGAATGGTGTGGTTAGCTGGTCCCAGCCTAGAAGATACTTTGTCTTTTTCTTCACTATTCTCTACCATTCTCAATGGTACACTTACCCAGCAGACACCTACCGAATGCCTACTGGCTGTTAGGCACTGTGCTTGCTTTTAAGGGGCTCTCTGTCTGATGGAAAGAAAGACAGGTTATCAGACATTTAGAAAACCACTGCTGGCTGTTACCTCCCATGGAGGTTTGCGTTAAGCTTTGCTAGTTGCTGAGGATGAACTAGTGATTGCTTTCCAACTGGAATGTTTCAGAGCAAGGCCCCTGATTGACTGATCTGAAAAGTATCTCACGCATCCACAGTTATTCATATGTTTTTAGATACATATTTACATAATGTATCAATGGTAAAAGAAATGATCATTCTAACACTTTATAGTATGATGGTACCTAATAGTTTTTGATTATTTACTCTCTTTTCCCTTGGATCCTCTCAGTAACCTGAGCGAGTAGCAGAGTCAGTAACTCCAGTTTATAATAGTGAAGCTCAGAGGAGCTAAGTGACCTGCTTGGGGCTTGATAGTTACCACGTGGCCCAATAAGACCAGATGGATGAGGAAGAGAAGAGAGGGAGGGAAGAAGTTACAGATACGCGTTAAAAACCATCAGAGGGCTTCCCTGGTAGCGGGAGTAGAGTCCGCCTGCCGATGCAGAGGACATGGGTTCGTGCCCCGGCATGGGAAGATCCCACATGCCGCGGAGTGGCTGGGCCCGTGAGCCATGGCCGCTGAGCCTGCGCGTCTGGAGCCTGTGCTCTGCAACGGGAGAGGCCACAGCAGTGAGAGACCCGCGTACCGCAAAAAAAAAAAAAAAAAAACACCATCAGTGATTTTCTGGATTCTCGCTCACGCTTTTCCTGCCATTGATGGGCCCTTTTCTTGAGCAGAAACGTTTGGTGATTATCAGATGGTTTGTACATGATCCCAACAGAAGCTGTACTTTGTCCTAGGACCTTGATATTTACTGTATTTTAAATACCCTGCATCTCAAATCAGCATGGACTCGTTCAAGCTCCACTGCAAACTGTTTTCAATCTCTTTAGGCAACTCCTAGCACCTCCCTGGGCCTCATTTTTGTCTTCGGTGAGATGAGGATTAGTTTTTCCACCCCGTGATCTCTGAAGTCTCTGCATTTTGCCTCCTATTCTGTGGTTCTGTGAGGAGCCCCATGGCAGACCCTTGTAGAATGATTCACATCCCCCCTCTCCTCCTCCAGTTTTCCTGAGAGAAGGAACCTCACCCACAGCTTTCATGATCCCAGCAGCCCCTTCTTCTGGAAGTTGGGCCCCTCAAGGGCTGCGCTCACACATACTTAACCGTTGGAGGGGAAGCCTGGTTGCTTGATTCTTGGAAAGCGTAGCACCAGAGTGTTTTGACTGTGTCACGTTTGCTTTTTCCATAGGTTCCCACCAGCCAAAAGAAGGAAGGTGTTTATGATGTGCCAAAAAGTCAACCTGTAAGTGTAAGTATATCTCCTCCCTTCTGCTGGGTTCCCATGACCGGCTTTATGTTGACGCTATGTCTGCAGTCCGAGGAAGGGAGCCGCCCTTCTGGGTACGTGTCCCAACCTGTATGGCTTTGCTGGGGAGCTCCTCAGTGGGTCAGGGGGAAGGGGGCATGAGGCAGAAATGATGGGGTCAAGGAGGGGGTGTCGGTCTGCATGAAGGTCTGGCCCCATGAGTGGAAATGAGTTGAATCATGCAAACTACGGTGTCCAAGGGATTCAGAGTCTCAGGTGTTTTATGGAAAAAGTCTCCAGCCAAAGACTTCATTATACCTGGTCAAGCAGGGGGCAGTTCTTGGTTCTAGGAAGAGAGTTGTCCACCCAGTTTGAAAGTGGTCGAGAAGCTTCAGAGGGTCAGAGGGAGGGCTGGCCAAAGCCTTTGGAGTGTATAAGGGTCCAGCCAGTGGGCAGCACACTGTAGCAGGTATCGTGGGCTCGCAGAGAACCCAGAGAGCCTACTATATACCTGGACCCCATCTGCTAGTGGGACTCCTGGAAATCTGAGACACAAAGGAAAATCCTCAGCTCTGTGCCACTGCTGGGCTCGGAACCATATTTAAGGCCTTCAGCTGGCAGTCAGAAGGCACCCTCCACATAATCCAGGCAGCCCTGGGGAGCCAGTGCAGACTCTAGAGCAGGGGGACATGTGACTTTGCCACAGCGTATGTAAGAAGAACTGGGGCGTTTAGTCACTGTTGATCTCATTCAACAATGGGTGGAAAGAGCATGGGCTTTGAAGTCATGCTGACCCTCAAGAATCCCAGCTCTGGTCCTAACAGAGCTGTTACGAGGCTAAGTGACCTTATCTGGACCATTGTTATCAGTTGTGGACCCCATACTGTGAGAGACATAAAGACAATCCCACATGTTTCAAGATGAGATTAATAATAACGTTTGAAACCCCATCCCATGAGGGGCAGCTAAAGGGCCTGGAGATGTTTGGCCTGGAGAAAGGAAACCATAAATGTGGAGATGGGCATCCACAGGGCCGTTAAATGGAAGGGGGATTATACTGCTCTGTATCAGCCAACTCTCAGAACCGAGACCAGTAGGTGGCACTACGAGAAAGCCAGCTCGAACTCCGAGTGAGGGTGACCTGCTGACAGTGAGAGCTGCTCAAGGGTGGAACTCTGGCACCCAAGGGAGTGAGCTCCCTGTCACTGGAGCTATACTCGCAGAGCCTTGGAGACCACCTGTCAGAAAGATTATGGGGCGGAGGCAGGGAGCAGGGATTCAAACATTGAATGGCTGGAGGGGCAAGACGAGCCTTTGCTGCGCCTTCCTGATTCGAGCTTCTGGATCCCCCAGTTGGGAGTCTTTCTGGTCCCTTCTTACCCTCCCCTGCCCCTGCTCCCCTTTTTCCTAGTGAACTTTCTTTCGGATCCACGTCCATTTCTCTGCCCCACTCTGCCAATACCTTGAAACCACCATATCCCACCTAAATACTGCTTCCAAAACCCCAATGCACATTAGTTTTACTGAAAAGACATGTCTGAATACCAGCCCCTTAAAAAACCCCGAGCCTGGAAACAGAGTAGGAGGCATGCAGCGTGGTGCCGCGCAGGGAAAGAGCAGTTTTTCTCCCCGAGCCCTTTGCGTTTAATCAAGCCTCCGTGTCGCGGAGACACCGGTCTGCGCTTCGAGTTTCAGTTAGGTCCAGCCCCTATCACACAGCTCCCTCCAATTCAGTGTGTGCCTAAATTGCCTCACTTGCCCCTAACAGGAGGAAACATGCTCCATTTGCCGCCTTGGTTTTGCGAAGTTATTAACCCGTCTGGCCACACCACCTCCATGCTTAATAGCTCCGAAAAAAAAAAAACAAAAAATTTCAGACTCCTCAGCCTGACGTACCCGGCACTCGGGTCCCAGCCTCTCTGTATCTCTGACCTGCCCTCTCCTGGTCCAGCTCGATGGAACTCTACAGTTTCCTGGGGGAGTCACGCCTTCCCCCAACATCCTAGCTTAGTGTCAAGCATTGTGTTTTGGGGAGACTTTCTCATTCTTCCAGGAATACCTCTGACCACACAGTGTTGGAATTATTCTTCTTCCTCGTTCCTTCCAGGAGCTTCCTGAGGTCCTTGTGTTACCAGGAGCAAGCCCGGGTCTGGTTCACAGCTGCTCTAGGAATAGTATATATTTATTATATATAATAAATATATGAATGGCTCTACCCCGTAGAAGGAATTTATGATAATCCCTGCTACTTTTTTTAATGGGAATTCCCTGTTATTCTGATTCCAAAATAGTCATTAACGATACATACTGAGGTTTTGCTTGGAAAATATCGGAGCTGCCTGAATGGCCCGCAGTGGCTCCCAACCCACTCTTCCATAAAGTCCTAGAACCATCTGATGGTGATGATGGCTTTTCCATGAACTACCTGAGTATTAATAAAAGCCTGTGAGAGGCAGGAAGTGAAAAGCACAATTTCAAGTTAGAGGCAGATGGATGCAGCTAGAATCTTAGTTCCTGTTCTTACTGCCTGTGGGACATCTGATAGGTCTCCTTGCCCCTCTGAGTCTCAGTGTTCTCATCTTCCAAAAGGGGTTTTGGAACCTAGCTTGCAAGATGATTTGAGGAGATAATAGTCGATGTTTTGGAAAGTTTGTCCCACTTGCCTAAACCTCCCAGAGGTGCTTTATACCCCATGTCCCCCGCTGCTCTGACATCTCCCTGTGTTCCAGGTTCCCCCCGGAAGCCCTGCCTCTCTGCTGAGCGTACCTTCCCTAGGATACCTCTGTGCCCCGAAAATCCCTGCCATGTTGTCACTATTTGCTCCCTCACCACCTGCTCCTTACCCAGAAAGACAAACCAAAGACAACCAAAGTAGGCCATATTAGGCAGCTTCCAGGGAGTTTGGGGCTCCCACAAGTTTCCCACAAGAAGGGAGACTGCCCAATGGCCTATTGGTCTAGGGACCACCTGGTTTCTTCTTCCTTGGGACGGGTCTGCGTGGAGTCCTAATAAGGGACTCAGCTTGGGGCTGTGGTTGGGGAAAGCCACCAACCAGCCCCAAAAGAAATGGCCACCGGGTCTTCAGAGTCAGATCTGGGTGTGGCTCTCATCCTGGCCACCTACTAAGGGTCCTTGAGTAGATTTTTGCATCTCTAAGCCTTACTGTGCTCATACGTAAAAAGAAAGTAACGCCTACCTTGTAGCTTTGTTTAGAAGATTAAAGGAAACATTTATGTGGGGATATGGAGTAGATTAAATGCAAACATTTCCATTTGTTGCTCTAACAAGCAGGGTACCAGCCAGCAGTTCTCACGGAGCTGGGGATCGCCAAGTATTCTAGGTGATGACACACCTCCTCTGGGAAGCCTTTCTTACCCCAGAGTAATCAGCCCCTCTGGGATACCTCTGTCCTTCTCTTTGCAATGATCATAAAGGATTATTTTCTCTTAATGTATCTATGTGAGCCATTGGACTTCGGGGTTAATGACAGCCCTGTGTAGTTTTTGCCTAAAGACTAAATGGGCTTAAGTATGTGAATCGGCACAGTGCTTGGTGCACTGTAAGGATTCAGTAGCTGTGAGCTATTATTCTATTTGCCTTCCTTACTTTTCTGTGAGCTCCTTGAGGACAGGAATCACTTTTAATCATCACTATCCCTAAGGTAACTCTTCTTGGGATTTCTGATCTCTTTGAGATTTTGCTGGTAGACTCTTTCCCCAGAAAGAAACGTGTGTGCACATGTAAATTTTTGTAGTCCTTGAAGCCGACGGGATCCCTTGATCTCAGCTCTAGAACCTCTGTCTAGACCTCTGTCTAGTGGCTCGTCATCACTGTTCCATGGTCAGAGATATCCTCAGTAAGGTGGCATATTTGATGTATTGGGGATTTCAGAGTTTTAGGGCAGCAGAAGTTAGAATTCACTGCGTTTGTTACAGCATTCTTACCCACTTCAGTGCATCAACTTACGGGAGCAAAGTTTTGTTTCGATTAGCTGGGCCCCAGGTCTAGGCAGAAAGCCAATTCCATGTCTTCACTCCCTCACATTTACTCATCCCTGTGGTAGTTTTACATCCCCCTTGTCCCATGACCATAGGATGCTCAGATGTACTGACCCTTTTCTTGTTCTGTTTTGTCAAATAACACGTTAGGATGCTTTTGTTTGCTTATTTTACTTTGCACCTGTAATAGCCCCTTCTTCCGGCAGATTTGTCCGTAAGGTCATACTTTGCTCCCCTCCACCATTTCCTGGGAACTCTAAGCCCAGATACGGATTAATCCCACTCACTCCTAGGAATATACATTTCATCCCTTCCTGGTCCAGGCAGTCAAAAGCTTTGCATGGGGGCTAATCTTTCCTGTATCTTCAATATGTGAGTCTATTTCTATGTCAGGGTCTCTGAAATCCAGTGGCATAAATGCTTGCTGACAGGAGATGTTGGATGGCTAGAGTTAGGAAGGTTTCAGGAAAGAGGGTACAACTTGGGCAAAGCCTTAAAGGATGAGCAGGATATGAACAGGCAGATGAGGCATGGGAGCACTTCTGGGCAGATCACTGGGGTCCTGGCTCCTGAGTCCATACTTAGCAGCACTCAGACCTGGTTAATTTCTCATCCATTTCTCATCAATTTCCCTCTCAAAGACGTTGGGGGAAGACAGGTAGTCTCCCTTTCTGCCAGCTGACTGACCATGCTGTCATGTTCTTTTAGACAAATACCCTGGCCTCTTTGGGAATGTCAAAAAAGCACATTCCTAAGTAGGGAAGAAAGTGTCTGCGTTCATTATTTAGTGCTTTTTGCACTCTGTTAGCCTTTGGACATGATCTAGTTCCACAGCGGGGCATTCACAGGCTGCTGAAGGGCCCATTTCAGACCCTTTTATGCCCCGCGGCACTGAACTTGGTTGAGACTTACCGTGAAGGTCACACTGTTTCAACGACACAGGCCTAAATCTTAGTATGACTTATGCCATTTTTGCATGAGAAATACTCTGCGCTTTTCTTCTCC